CTTTGATATAGTTTTACCTTTTTCTGAATTTCGCAGATTTTTTAATAAGGTTTTAATATAATTTAACTAAGTTTTACTTTTACTATTTAAACATCTGTCTAAACTCTAGATTTTGTCTAGCAACCTTAGTCACATTATATAGTATTTTTATAATCACATCATTTTTTTAGTCTCAAGGGATATGACTATATAAAGGATCAACTGTATTTCATTTTCTTTTTAAATTTTTTTAAGGAACGCTTTAGGAGATTTAAAGATTCAAACTACAAAAAAAGTAAAAATGAAATATTAGTACTGTAAGATAAATAAATTTTCATTAAAAATCCCAAAAATTAAGGAGTAAAAAAAAAGGTAAGAACTTTATTAGAGGAGTCACAGATATTACATAATATCATATGAGGAGAGGAAAGATCAATGATGTCTTATTTATCACAAATTTTCAAAAATAGAAATACATAATATATTAATATAATCATTTTTTATTGGATAATAAATTTAAAAAAAATCTGACAAATTTCTGCAAAAGATAAGTTTTTATTTTTATTTTATTATTTCATTTAACATTCTATTTTATTTTAAAGTTTTAACTCTACATTCATTTTATATAAAAGTAACATATATTACCATGTACTAATTTAAAGTGAGTTATTATTTTTTGGAATGAGCAAAATGTCTATGATTCATAAGAAAATCATAAGTAGGAAAGTATTTTTTATATGTATTATATTCATATTACGCATATTGTTTAGCACTAATTGAAGAAAAATGTTCATTATACTTTGAATCTAGGTATTGTATAATATATATTGGATTCAAAAAATGTTTATCTCTACCTTGAATTACTGAATTACTGGTAGAAAAAACCATTTGTTTGTTCAAAAAAAAAGGCAACTTCAGGAACTCGTTTTGTAAACAGCATTCTAAATTTACATATTTTTATATATTTGAAGAATACTTGCACATTTGAGTATGATTTTCAATCCAAGCCCATGGAACTGATTCAGCAACTGCATTATTACTATTACTGATTCTTACATTTATTTCAAAAATTATATCTGATAAAAGAGCTTGTTGTTCATTAATATATTTAGAATAGACAGATTTACCAAAGATTTTATCATATCATTAAATTATATATAAAGCTTTACCAGCATATCAGAAATTTTGTAGTCCAAGCTCTTGATCAACAACTTTTTCTTGAAAATCAAGATACTTGTCAAATTTATCAATAGGAAAAGAAATTTCTGCTAACTTTTTGGATAAGGTTGCCATAGCTCTTTCAACAGGATTAAATACAGATTGATATAAAGCGTGAGTACATATAGTTATATAATTAAGATCTAGTTTTTTGAATAAGTGACAATACTGATATATATTTTTAAGATATTGTGGGTTCTCATCTGATTCTCCATTTACTAGTATTATCTAAATCGGTTTGATTATATCATTAATTTTAAATCTTCTTTGTTTTTCTCATTGATGTAAGATTAATCAAATCTTGCATATGTGTCAAAGAATTTATGCTAACATGTCATGAGATCATACATTAAATAAATGCTTAGAATTAATTTTTAAGATGTACTAATTGAAAAATCATAATCTTCTATTTCTAAAAGTTTAGCAATTGATTGAATTATTTGGAATATATGCCTTATAACAGGTATACCAACATTGACTTTTGCTTTATCATCCTAAAATATTATAACTGTTAAATCAGAAAATATATTTGTGAATAATTTTGATGTTTTTACTGAGGCTAAATAATAATGTAAATCAATATGTTCTTTCTTTAATTCGTAAAACATTAGCTATTCCAACTATTGCAGGGTGGTGAATAGCTCTTGCTATAATAGAATTTTTAGAATTTGGTAATATATAATTGCAAAGTATACTTATTGACAGTGATGTGCACTTGAAAGATTGGAAGCACCTTTGGAAGTACCTTTGGAAAAATTGGAAGCATAATTTACTAATAGAATTGCTTGGATTGGAAGTTTTCAATCAAATTTTATGTAATTGAAAGCACAAAATACACATCACTGCTTATTGATAAGTATTTATTGTAATTATTTTATAATTTCTCGTGTAAATGTATAACAGATCTAACTTTAATTACTTCTTTTCTTCTTTTAGCATTAGCTGTATTAAATTTAATTGAATTGTGTATATATTCAAAAAGATTGGAATATTTAAAATGAATTGGAGGATAGCTAGCATTATACATGAAGTCATTTCAGATATCCAAAATGGTCGAAATGGTCAAAATCATTTTGACTATTGAAGGCTAAAGTTGCGAAATAGTCAAAATGACGTCATATCACATGATTTTTCATATTAAGAAAAAACAATAAACAAAAAATGTACGATCTCGGTCAATATCGCTCCGATTTGTATGAAACAACTACCATTTGATTCTTTGGAATTTTTTCACTACACAAACTAAACACAAATAATATTAAACCACTTTTTTAACTTTATAATAATGACTTCTAATACTTTAGAATTTTATAACAATGTTTTCGTGAAAGATACGAAAACTTTTTTATAACTTATTGCTAACGTTACCCCATACCTCGCTGAGAGAGACATGGCTATAGCAAAATTTCTAGGTTTTCAGACTCCCGAAAATTTTTGGCTTGTCAGAAAACTCAACTTCGAATACGATAAACTTTTTCCAGAAAAAATAGAATTCCCAAAAAACTTTATTGAACAGATAGCATGTACTAGTACGTTAACAATACACGAAACTGGAACAAATGACTTTACCACGAATGTCACTAAAGACATCATCAATAACACCATAAATAATATATTGGAGACCGATGACATTATTTTCATTGCCGAAACCTCCTCTCCTGAAATGGATATACTCGAAGATAATATGGATTCTTCCTCTCAAATCACACATAAAGGACTCCCTCACTTTTCAACTGTCTCAACAAACAATGCTATCAACTCTCCAAATAATGATTTGATTATTTCTGATTCATCTACACGTCAATCATGTAAACAGTTGCGTAAACAAAATAAAAACACATCAAATAATATTATCACGTGATAATAATAATCTACCCCTATTTTATCAAACACTAACACAGACGCGTCCATGCTTAATATCAACAATAGTATGCACCATAATATCTTAGATAAGAATGATCTACGTCACACAATCATCACACTTCTCACACTTCTTCTACTAACAAGTATAGTTATGTGATTGCAACGGTTCTTGCTAATGTCCTTCCTGGTGATAATAGATTTGATCAATTAAGTTTGATCAACACTTGCTTTTCAAACAAGCCTGGTTTTATTAACCTTGATTGGAAATTTTACAACGGCAATGCCAACATTTTTATTGAATTCAATAATAGAAAACTCTTTTTTCTGCGATCGATGAAGTTTTAATGACACATCTCAATATCTCATTTAATATTTTGAATCAAGGAACTTCTCTTCCTTCCAACCCAAATGCACCTGTATATAGATTAAAAACGGTTCCTACTACGATTTTTCACCAACATATAAAGAGAGCCTTATCCTATTATGGACCTATAGAAATAATGGAAGATAAATTCAAAATTCGTTATGATTCTTCTTGGGATGTAATTAACACCTTCAAACTACTCACCAAACCAACATCAATTAAACTTAGCCTGGGCCCATAATATTAATGATCTAGTCCTATTAGATGTGGCGTTGTTGTAATGATAGAGAATGTTGAATCCTGAGGGAGTTTGATTTGAAATATTTTGTGTTGAAGAAAGAGATGGTTGAAAGGCGGGGCACATTGATACTTCTATTAAAGATCTCAAAGCAAGAAATAGCTTCGTCACTGGTTTCAAAGGATTCCCGAATAAAACTACACCTGCAGAAGCATTCAGATCAATGAGACCTCATGAAGCCCATTCTTGTTACTTTCACAATAACATTGCTTACTTTGCATTCTCGAGTGAATCAGATATGCATTGAGCTTGTTCAGCTAAAATTCTACACAACGGATATAAATTGGATGGCTAACCTAGGATTCCAGTTCACTCCTCCAATTTAAACAAAAGAAACAACAGACACAATTCAATCTCTCAAAAATCAGGAGGAAACATGAATGTTGATCAATATGCTTCATCTTCATACTCTGCTCCCAATGGATCTGATGATGACATCTTAAAAGGAAAAAACAAGGTTTGTCTCATCCACCTCCTTCTAACACCAAATTTGATCCGTTGACTGCTATACTCAATAAACTACAAGAATTGGATTCGATCAAAGCCCACTTAGCTAAACTTGATGCCCAATTCTTAAATTTCTCCCCAACGTTTATAACAGTCATACCAGGCGAATCAAAGTTAAAGGATATTCATACTGATAACCTGAATATTCACAATAATAATATGGATATTGACTCTTTTCTCAGTAATCAAATTTTAATATTCCACACACAAAGAAACACAAAGATCAAACAAGTTGTTCATATTGATGATGAAAAAGCTAACAAAATCATAAATGGTGGCGTTATCAAAATTTCAACACACAACATTCTTAGTTTAGCTGAAAAGACTGATCCAATTAAATCCTTCCAAAATTTTGAACATTGTTGCTACAACAAATTGGACTTCATCAGCTTAACTGAAACTCATCACACCAGCTCCATATTCTACAATCATAAAACTGACGATGATTATACTTCATACTGGAGTAAGTTTGACTCACATAAACCTTACGCCGGAGTTGGTCTCTTAATATCAAATAAATGGATTAAATATATTGTTCGCTCTTTCAATTCTGTGTCAAGATACATATACGTTGATTTTTTCATTAAATGACACATCAAATTGCGTGTCTTTAGTATCTATATTCACGCAAATTGTCATGACAAAACATCAGCTCACAACAGTCGTATCCTCCAAAAGGAGATTCTCCAGCTGATAGACAAAAATCTTAAGAATTGCTTCCACATTATCATCACGTGAGATTTTAATGTTGATATAGATTCTTATCATCAAAATCTAAAATACAATAAATCTGTGGGATGGCATTTTTCACTAATTGAAGGCTTCTTTCATCGAAATCTTATAGATCTCCAACACATCAGCAATGATAACATCATGCCCACCTTCATTCCACTCAACAGTGTAAATAATAATAATACACGTTCCGGTTCTTCTTGTCGACTAGATGGCATTTTTGTTTCACCTGATTTTATGGCTGACTTCTTATATTGTGGGTTCTCCAAACCACTTTTATACAAATCTGACCATAGAATGGTCACAGCCTTCTTTGCAGATTTGAACCTAAACAAGAAGCATATGATAGATGACTCAACAACAAAAGAAGACAATTTATATTCTCACCCATAGATAACCACAAATGGAACAACTTCTCAGTTAAACTGGATTAGTAGACAGTTGGATCATCTTAATCAACTAACTCCTTCATTGGCTAGCATAAACCTCCTATGGGAACAGCTCAGAAATGCTATCATGACCATTGCTAACAAAACCATTTCGATCTGATGGATTTTTGCAGACCAACAAGAACCCAAACCAAAGGAATTGGTTTCCTACTATGAACAAATGAAGAAGTTAAACAAGATCATCCTTAAATTCCATGCATCAAGAATAAAAACTAAAACAATAGCCCATAGGACAAGAATGGTTTAATGATTATTCTTCCGTTCAGTCAATAATAAAGGATACTAAACTTCCTGTTGTAATACTTCCCGATACTTTGATCCGTCCAATATTCAACACACTAAACGCATTCTTCTCAAACTATATCACCACCTCAAAGCTTTAGCTAGAATTGAAGTCACAAGACAAAAAATAAAATATTGTATTAATCAATGATGTCTGCAATACAAATCTGCTCCTGCGAAAATGATTCAGTTCTCTCTTGGACGTTCAAAAAAAACCATCGTCTTAGATCGTCTTATCATTAAGGATGTCAATAATCACCAACTCCTCATCAATGACCCGAAGCTCATGGCAGTGGTTTCACATCTTCCTAATGATAAAGCTGCAGGACCTTCGGGTATTCACAATGAAATGATCAAACACTTAGGCCCGATTGTACAATCTCTCTTATGGAAACTGATCACAATGTGTTTCACCCTGAATGATATTCCTTCAGAATGGAAGCTGGCTCACATTTATCCAATTCCCAAGCCCATGAGTTGGGATTGCAACATACTCAAAGGCAACAATTTCGCTGGATTACCTGGCAGTTCTACTGAAGACCCTATTAAGATCATGAATATAATCATCGAAGACTCTATTGAACACAAAAAAGAAATTTGGATTCTCCTACAGGACCCTTAGAAGAATTAAAATACCTGAAAGTTGTATCACTTGTATCTTAGGATTTGAACACTATGACCTCATCTTCCCTGTCTGTTGACATTTCATCCCTTGGATACATGGATGATGTGAACTGGATTGCCAGTTCCAAAGAAGATGAATATATTCTTGACCCCTTTCATTTAAAATTTGGATCGTCCTCTATCTCTATTACACCAGAACTGGGTTCTGTTCACTTCCTCGGTATTTGGATTAATATATTTAATTCTTCTTCTTTCATTGCCATCTTCAGATCAAAACCACTCACCGACAAACAATTGATATATATTTTTAATACTGTTCTCATGCTGACTTTGGAGTACCGTTTACAAACAACACCACTATCCTATATAATGAATGCAATACTCTCTCTGCTCCTATTCGACGGCTATTAAAATCCAATTCAAAATTTGCCAGTTCAGCTCCAGATTGTTTCTTCAAAGGAAACAACTTTTATAATTTGAATGATCTATGGAATCAGCAGATGCGTACATTCTTAACAGCTCTCTTATGCTAACTAAATATCTATTTAATGAAATTTATTAATAATTAATATGGGAGGCAGTCAGTAGAAAAGGGGAAATCCAAAATTTTTGTTAAATTTTTATTATTATACCAAATTTGTGCACATGATTGAGATTAGCCAAGTGGTCTAATATTTTCTACTGACCACCTTCCATATGTCTATTAAATACTTTAACGAAATATAAAAGTTTTTATTCAAGCCAAGTATCCCTCCATTGATGTATTATGATAGTTCTTGACATATGGCCACATAAGTTCCATAACTATCGCCTGACAATAAATGTTACAAACTATATCATTGCCTGACAAAACTCCTGGGTTTAGACAGACCGTCAAATGTCAAAAGTGTAGAAATCTTAATAAAATCATATAAACTAACCTGTCAAAACTTGTCAAAACCTGTTGAAACCTGCCAAACTATATCAAACAGTCAAAACTATATTATGAACTTATTAAAACCCTGTCAAAACTAGAGGTTTAGACGTTTCGACAAATCTGTGATCTGATGACAACACATGGCAAAAAAATCTTAACTATATATAGGTAACAAGGTTAATAGATGTGATGTGATATTTTTTTTGATTTAACTATGGTGACAATTGGTAATAAATGTCGTAAGCATGCTAAAGTTACTAAAAAACTTCAACAATGGATATTACATTACGCACAAAGAGTTCAAAGTAAAAAGGCTGCTGCAAAAAGGTTTGATATTGAACCAAAGCAAATAAGGGATTGGGAAAAAAAAGGAGCAACTTATGTCTTCAGCACCATATATTAAAAAGTTACATCCAGGGAGGTATCTGAGTTAGAAATACCATTATTTCAATGGGTTCAGGATTTAAGGCAGGAATGTAAAGCTGTAACTCATAGTTGTGAAAAAAGCAAAAAAACTAGCTGAAACTGATGAAATGAAACAACTTTATCCAACACTTCAAAATTTTAAATTTTCTAACAAGTGTTAGATGGTTTTATTGGTAGAAATAACTTATCTAATAGAAGAAGAACAACTATTTCCAGAAGATTTAATTGAACAACAGCATTTATTTTTGAGTTTTATTCTTTATAGGTGTATACAATATGATTATCCTTTCAATTCTTCTCAGTTTTGATTTACCATCTTCTTGATTAAAAACAAACAAATATTGCTGGAGGGTTAACTGGTAGACTTCAACCATTAGTTGTTGGAATCAATAAAATATTTGAATCCAATGGATGTCTAAAGAAGTTCATGAACTTACTCCTGCTGGAAGAATTAAAAGGCCTGCTTATAATAAGTAACACAATGGGTTAAGGTTGCTTGGGATAGCATTAATGTTGAAAAAATCAAAAAATCCTTCAAATGGTGGTATTTCTATAGCGAAAGATGGCACAGAAGATGATTTTATTATTGATTATGATTTTTTAAATGATGAAAAGAAGATACCATATGGGTTGAGTGCATGGAAAATGGATCAAATTGATTTTTTTTTTTAAAAAAAGTTTCTAAGTAAAATAGATGTAGATTTGGTCATCTGATTCAGATCATTTGTTATTTCAAAAAAAAAATTTTTTGTTGATTTGGTCCCTTTTCCCAGCACTTACCCCATATATGATATTTTGTTGCTGGTTCTGAAAATACTTGGCATTAATATAGATAATGTAAATGTTTTGAAAAAATACCTTGCATGCTATTAGTAATAATAAAACTATTTTTTACATTTAATAAATACTTTTCATAATTTGTATTAATAAAAATTTAACATTGATGTGTGGTATCGGTATATCAATATCAGTTTATAGTACCTGGGACCTTTATACAGAGTCTGACATTCGTATATTGAAGACGATTCTGAGGCTCTATATTAAAGACAACTAAACTAGTAATGATATAAAATATTACTATGTTAATTCCTCGATTAAGATAATTTCATTGTCTCATCTGTGTATTATCAAAAGCTATAAACAGAAGTCCTTCAGGTAGAGGTTCTTTTCATGTAATATAGCTGTCAATAGTAATAATAGTTTTCGATTGTGCAATGGAATACTTAATAGCTGATGCCACAAGATTTATTTCCAATACATATTTTCATGCCTAAACTTGTATATTAAATTAATAACCATCACTCTTTTGTAGCATTTATTAAGATTATTGTGAAATGACGGTTGCTTAACCATATCTACTGAGTATAACTCAATAGATTTTCTAAGGAAAACTTATTATTATCTCTAATCAGAAATTCAATATCCTCATACAAAGATTCTCAAGCAATTAGTAAGATGTCAATAACAGCATACCGGACATTTACATAATTGGATGTTACACAATAAATGTGTAACATAACTATTTATATAGTTTAAAGTAGTATATTAGCGTCGGATTTTTGATAATTGTTTTATGTAATGATAAAAAAAAACTACGATACTATTATCGTAGACGTCATTTACAACATATTAACGAAATAATCCCGCTAATCACATATTTTAAAATAAGCAATTCCGAATATTATAATGGAAAGTATTTGCAGAAGAAACTTATTGGACCGTGTGTTATATGTGGAGTAGAAGGAACTGAATTTAAGTTTCGGAGATTTACAGAAGATGCTAAACTCAAAGCCTTACAACATAAAACTTTAGATACTACTTGGCAATTAGACATTACACTGTTTTGTCATAAACATTACATAAAATATATTGTAAATGGTAATATTGGAGGAATTTTAAAAAGACAAAGAAAATTAGATGATATTGCAATCATAGAAATTGATCATGATGGTGAATCTGAGTTGATAACAGATATTAATTTGGAACAAAAGATATCAAAGGTAAGAGATGATAAGGGAGTTGGTGAAATTAATTTTATTGAAAATGTGAAATCAATGGCACAGATTTTTTATGCAAGAGAAAAAAAAGAAAAGGAATTGCCAATTTATGATTGGAAATTACTCAGAATAGATATGGAATCTAAGAATTTTAATCTTAGACCATTTTTCAATATGCTTGAAAAGTTGATCAATCCAAGTAGTAGGGGTCTTGTGGATCAAACTGTTGTATAAAGACAGAAAGGGCTTTCTTTTTTATGTTATTTTTTTACAGGAATTGGAAATAAACATATCAGCTCATTAAGAAAAGATATTGTAATGTTTCTAGATCATTCAGGTACATCTGATCGAGCTATTGATTTCTTATTTAATATGCAATTAAGTTCTACATCAAGAGAAAATCGGCATGAATAAAATGCTATATCATCAATTCATAGGGATAATGTTACAAAAGAGCTTTTAAAATATCAGAATAATACAATAGTTGCAAATATTGATGATGATTATAACGTTCATGGTTTAAGAATGATAACAACTACCTCTACTAGTTCTGTTGCCTATATGACTACCATTCTTGCTATTCCTATACCTACAGCAAATGCAATTCCAAAGAATATTATATATAATATGAATTTAAATCAATATAACATACATAATCTATTACTTGGGAAGTTTGCTAGGAAAATGGGGTTCTAAGAAATTTTTTAAAAAATTGAAAATTTTGATACATATTAATCTATAATTTAAAACTTTAATCGGTTAAAATTTTATATTACATTAGCTTATTTTTAAAAAAAAAAATTATAATATTGAAGGTTATTACTTAGTAAATCTAGAAATAGATTTTTGGAAATAATAAACATGTTTAATAAACCATTTAGGAAATAATCAACAAATTACATCTTAAAAAGTATTTAGCTAATAATTTATATCATATAATATATATCACATGACCTAAAAATAG